CCCCCCCCCCCCCCCCCCTCGGGCGCTTGTTCTACCTCAACCCCCCCTTCCCCTATCACGGTCCGATCCGGCAGGAAGATTCTCCGATATTTCCTTAGCAAGAAACGGCGGCCTTCTCCGACCTTCATCCCATGCCACATAGCCTCAGGACCAGCAGCTTCGAAGAGACCATGAAGAGAGCGGATCAAATCATGTCTTCTCTCCCTTGGCGCTGGCCACATCGCCCCCCCGCGGAAACACGCCCTTCGTTGCCGCCTTACGCGCAATGAACGGTTACGAACGTGGAAACCTGCGACGACCTCGTTCTTGTTTATCTACCTCGCGCCACACGCAACCACAACACAGCGCCTCCTTCTTACTCGTATTTTTTTGACAAGCCACTTTCTGGCGGAAACCATCCCGGCCCCACACACCCGCCACACCCATGAAGTCCGTGCGCATGTTTTTTTACCAGGCCCGTCAGCATTAGACAGGCCGTCGTCACCAAGCCAACCACAAATCACGAAAAATTTTCCACCAGCACTTCCTTTTACTGCTTTTATTTTTTATTGTCCTGTCACATTTTTCCCCGTACTTATTGTCTTTTCTGTCGACAAAAACAGGTTTAACCTTAATAGTTTAATACGTTCCACGTCTTTTTTCACCCAGAAAATTGACCCCACAGTCCCCCCATACATACAAGAGAGATGACAAAAAACCTATCAACAATTGCGGCACCCCCGGGCTAAAAAAGGGGCGCGCACAAATAGCCCGGGCACATGCTTTAACGCGGTGCGGGCACCAAAATCACATTTTTTGGTTCTCCCCCACTCTCAGGAAACGAGCACGCTTTGTAGGGATGCGAGGTCAATGGTCTGACGACTACGGCATGCACGACTATGAGTACACCCCCCACTCTCAGGAAAGTTGGTGCGTCTTCAATCGCCAACCGCAAGGGAAAAACGAACGCACATAGACACAACTTCACTGCGCACATTCCTCGAATACCTCGCTCGCCCGCTTCCCACCCCTCCCCCTCGCTTGGGTTCGTCACCTTCCACTTGTCCCTAGCCAACTGAACAAAACCGCACCATTGGGCGGAGCACCGATTAAAGGACAACCAGCGAACATGGTACGATGCCCGTAGAAATACACCTGACGGAGGGGGGTGGGATGGGTGGCGAAAAAGAAAAACCACGTCGCCCCCGCCCTCTTCATCTCTCTCTCTGAGATGCACGATCAAACAGGGTCAACACGAGTGACACACACGGCTCCATCCCTAACCATTCCACCCATCGCCCCCTTTCTCCTCCGCTAAAAGGAAAACAGGAGGTTGTATGTCCTATCCCAACAGCGCTCGCGCCGTACTCCCCAGGCGGCGACAGTTCTCTTTACAAAACAATATCTCACGAGAAGCAACAAAAAAGAACGCCTCCGTGTTTGTGGTCGGCGTGTGTAGTATAGCTTGACGCACTGCGAAAGCAAACACAACAGCGTGTGCTGATTGCCAACAGCACCATGTCGGCCAAGAGGGCAAACCTTCCCGCCCAATTCCGCCCCGACGAACAGCACACTAGTGGTGGTTTTCCACGCTTGCGAAACAGCAGTAGTCGCCGCACTACGGGAATTCACACGATACCCAAGCTCCTGCGACATCTCTATTACAAGAATACCACGGATGCTGCCACACGATACAACCACGATATGTGTGCAAATACAGTGAATCAGGGGCGAACCGCTGCCGGCGGCGGCGGCGGCAAAACGAGCTGCTTAGATTGACTCCACACCTTCCGATCTCCGGAGTTTTCTGATCCTGTCCTGTCTCCCCCTCCCCCCGGAAGAAAATTGAAATTCTCCTTGCATGTCCAGACAAAAAAAAAAAATGTACATTGGACAAAGCAAATCGCGTGAGTGGCCACACGTCACAAGCAATATCTAGGCTGCGAAGCAGTGTAAACCAACTTCGTCCTATCCTGAACCTACGCATCCCGAAAAATAATCCTCAAGAATTCTCGGTCCATGCTTTGCGTGAAACAGACCCAAAACCTGACGAAAACGAGCCGAATCATTTAAATTTCCATGCGAAACGGAACGCCGCAGGCATCCACACACCGCTGGCGGCGGCGCGCTCTTGACTCTCTTACCGCACTCCATGCTCCTCGCTCGCCGCCGACTGCTAAAACTATCTGCTTCCTCTACAACCCATCGACCGGGGCGGTAGTCTTGCAGGATATAGTCACGGCAGGCGCTGACAACCCCCTCAACCAAAACTACGGAGCGATCCTCGACCGCACACTACATACATACATACATACATACATACATCCACCCCATATGGTGCTTCAGCTGCTCCTAGTCCAAGCCCAGGGCCACGGCTTGCGGGTCTTGCCGTTGACGCCGGTTCCGGCTCCACTCCCCACCACCTCCGCCTTGTCGATCATCTCGAACCCGAGGTTGTCAGCCGCTTCCGCGCGCCCGCTGTCACTGACAGCAGAAGCTCCGGCGCCGCCGCCGTCTTCTACGTCCGTAAACGCCGTAGCGGCGGCAGCGGCAGCAGCGGGGGCGTTCGTAACGATCCCCAGGTCGGCCTTAAGGTCAACCCCGGGCTCGAGCTCCAAGTCGGTCGCCAGGTCTAGGCTCTCGCTGAGGGGCTCTTCGCCCCCCTCCACCGGTGCGACAACGCCTCCGTCTTCCCACGGCGCACCGGCGGCGGCGGCGGCGGCCCCTGCCCCCGCTGTCGCCGAACAATTCGCCCCGGGCTGACAACTCCCCACCGTCTCCGCCGGCGATAGCAACGGCGCCGCCGCCGACCCAACGGCGGTCGCAGCCGACCCAACGGCGGTCGCAGCCGCCGTGGCCGCCGTCGTCGGGCCGGCCGGCGAGCCGGGAGACGCGGGAGCGGTTTCACACACACCCGCCGCCGATCCCGCCGACGGCGACGTCGCCGCCGATTCCGCCGCCGCCTTCGCGGCGGCGACCGCGGCCTTGTCCGCCGCCTTGTCCGCTAGCTTTAGAGCCTTCTCGGCCGCTTTCGCGGCCTTTGCGGCCTTGGCCGCTGCCCGGATGCTGCTGCGGGTGGTGGCCGTTTCGGCCGCGGCGGCCACTGAGGCGGCCGGCGCTTCGGCCGACGGCGGCTCGCTGGCGGTGGCGATGGTGGTGGTGCTGCTGCCACGGCCCGAGGGGTTGCCCGCGTTGACGGTCGTGTTGACCGCCGCCTTCCAGGCGTCGTTGTTCATCGAGCGGAGCAACCTCTTGACGCGACGCTTGTTCACGCACCAGTCCTGGTTTTCATTTCGTTTTATCGGCGTTCGTTGTCAGAAAATACGGACAGACTGCTGTACGGTTTGATTTTGTAGTTGAGAAGGGAATTGCTGGTTGCACATGAAGTAGAAAATATCCTTACGAACACACAAGATACCTATATTACCCATCCGAGATAAAGCCACAACAGTCGGAGGGGATGTGTTAAGTCTTGCATACGATGAGGCGAGACATCGAGATATCACTCTACGGAGCTCAGAGAAAAGTGGGAAAAAACGGCAGGCCTAAATCTACGAACGAAATATCCAAATTGTCGTAGACTCAATGTTGATATTAATTGTGAGATGAACCTGTGAGAAAACAAAGGCGAAAGGAGCATGGACAGTAGCAGCAACGTCGTTGAAGGAACCTACATCACGGCAATTCGGTTGAACAGACACACCGTGCGAGAATGCCAAGCAAGAGCTCGTGCTGTTCGTAGCCGTATCTTGTCTTCAGTGACGACTTCGAGCCGAATAATAACCAACGAGGTCCTCGGCATGTACCGACACGTGTTTCAATAGTCTGCATAAATAATGTTCCATGAATTATACACGTAATCACTCCAAGGCAAAGACCAACGTGCCGCGTGTGGGCTGCGTCTGTCACGGCAGCTTGAAGTAGAACGGCGTCCAATATGTATGTGTCACATTCGTGAAGCAGGAGGCAGCCATGTGCATGGGCAGAGGGACTCAACGAGGAGAGCGGGCGGAAAAAACACAGGCACACGAAAGGGCTTTGCACTGATCCGCAACGCAACAAAATGATTCATCCCGTCCGACGGTGTATCTATTTAGCATACATGCGATACACGGTGACGGGTATTTTGAAATGGTGCTGCCGCTGCTGCTGTGTATGTGTGCGTGTAGAAAGAGGAAGAAACTCACGTCCGCTTCCAGACACACGCGTCAACAGCCACTGCGGTACGCAACAGTAGCACCACTACCACCAGCAACAACAAAAATCCAAGTGCTGGCTGCTTGAGTGTCCGCCGTCGTCGGATCCAACAATCAAATCACACATGCATGTGGATCCTTACAAGGCACAAGCGTGCGTACCGCGTGGTCTCTGAGGTCGAATAACGATATACAGACGCTGCATGTGTTGTCCCGGTCGGGCAGCACTGCGACCAAATACCAGAGGGGGAAAGGCCTCAAGAGGGTAGGCATTGGCAGGGGGAGGAGAGAGCTCAAGGAAATCGGACCATCCCAAGAGTACGCGTCCCCCCAGGGATAGACAACGCGCATACATCAAACTGCCGAAAACAGCAAAACAAGCGGCGAGTTGTGATGAATCAACGCTTCTTTTTGGTTGCTCTCTTTGTTCGGATAAATAAAATATATCGCCGTGTGTGCTGCAAATTTGCTGTTAGATGATGATAAACATCAACACAGCAGGGTTGCGTTGTTATCTTCGCCAGCTCACCGGCCGCATCTTCTGCACAGCCGACGTGATCCTCGCCGGATTGACCGTGGAGGTGCTGACGGTGGCATCTTTGATGGCTACGGTCAGGGTGCTGTCATCGGGGAGCATCGCCATGTTCTCTGCCGAAAACGAAAGCAACAACAAGGAGAGCTTGTCAGGTTTGAACAGCGGCGGAATTCGAGAAAAAGTCGAGGCACATTTTACCATGTCACCACGTAGCTGCAGCAGGTGGCCCCGAAGGTTGTGTCAGCCGGCCCATTAGCTTGCTGGCGCAGCACGATTTCTGCCTCTTCGCTGCTGGGCTGCTTCTCCCTGTGTCTATTCACACGGCGGGGCCGTCGCTACGCACTCTTCGATATGCAACAAATAACGGCAGCTCGAAATTCAGAAAATATTCTCAGCTGATTCGGTGTGTGACGTTGTTCACCCAACCCGCCGACCCCACTGCTGTCGATGAATACAGCTCTCTTCCTACACGACGACCTGCGGAATCCGTCGCCTTCTCTCACGGCTGCAGATGCCCGCTTACCTGAGGTTCGTGAGCTGCTGATTGGTAGTCTTACGGTTGATTTCGGTCGGGGATGTGTGCCGCTCTCTCGGTTTTTCTGTGAGCCTCGTTTTTCATTTTTTTTCCGGCTCCCCCACCCCCCCCCCCCCCCCCCCCCCTCCCCCCCCCCCCCCCCCCCCCCCCGTAAC